GGGTAATAATCGTGGAAAGCATAAGTGTTCCCACAAACGCATGACATTCAATTGAAATGGATAAAATGTTTAAGATATAAATGATTGTTAATATTAATAATTAGAAGATGGTATATTAGCAAACCTTTTGTGAAATGAGATTTGAAGTAGAAGAAGGAGGAACATTTCAATGAAATATTGAGCTATAATATGTGATGTGGGGGGGAGAATAATTTTGAAAAATAGGGCTCTCATAAAAGCATGTGATTTAATTGAAAAGTAATGAGTTAAATATCTAAGATATGAATGAATATCAATATTAATGAATAGATTTGTATTATTTTTGATAATATAGTATAATTTTAGAATGTACCAGACAGAATACCAATGTAGGTTATGTATTTTATATTAAGTACTATAAATATAGAGGAAAAAGACAAAGGCATCATACTCCATATAGTGTATAGGAGAAGTACTTCTTTTTTTTTAAAGAAGAAAAATAAATGATTGGCTGGAATAGAACAAAGAATAATAAATATTACGATATGAATTGAGAGGAGATAAAAAAATAAAAATGAAATAAAATTGAGAAAATTTAAAGGAGAGGAGAAGTTATATAAAAAATTGAAAATGTTAAGATATGAAATGGTATGTAAAATGAATATGAAATTGAACTTGTGTCTGTACCAAGAGTTTTAACCCGGGACTAAGCAACTTTCAGAAAAGAGATTTTTTATACTTTTATGTTTTGTGTTTATGTGTATTTATGTATTGTTTGTCTTGAAAAATAAAACTTGTTTAAAAAAAAAAAAAAAAGGTAAGCTGGTCTGAAACCCGAAATCTCTCACACTCGAGAGCGGTCAAACGACCTAACCCTAAACCCACAGAGGACAAAGACGTCAGGCGGAGACACACCAAACGGACATGTTTTTGCCAAAGAAGGTGATACAAAAAAAAACCCCACCCCCCACCCCCCACCCCCAAAACTGTAGCCACAGAGACCAAACACCAGATGTCACACAGAAGAAAAGCTGGTTTCTCACCGTCACTTCGGCCGACAATTGACTTCAACAACAGGGCAATTCATAGCAAACCGATATTTACAGATACCTTTGGGGAAAAAAAATAACCAACACCACCACAAAGATGGAGTCCCAACGATCTTGGCAGTCCCGGTGTGTGCAAGAACTTGGGGAGCCACGCAACACAAAATCCCACGGGGGACATCACACGGCGAAACCACACACAATGCAAGTGTTGGGCGTCAAGAGTTGTTCTTGCACAAACCAAACACAGTTTTGAAAGTAAAATGGAGAAGATGGACAGACAACGCTGACTAAAGGACAAGGACGTGGGAAATGGGGGTGGGTGGGCGTTTCCAAGTTCCGCGGAGGTGTGGGAGGACCCCCCCCCCATTCTGAGTGGGCAGGATCAAAGAAGAACCAATTTGCCTCTCGCGGCAGCCCATAGCCATTTTGCCAACCTCTGCGGCGCACTGTGCAAGCTGGAGGACGTCGATACGTGTGTAGAGTGTACACGTCGCAAGGCAAACTCATACAAGCAAGCGGATGTGGCAAAGAAATGAGTGGAATTTGAGCAGGGGGGTGATCTGGAGAGGGCGACGGGGTATTTAACAGATAACAGATAATCAGAGTTGGAAAGGACCTTGTAGGTCAAGCAGGAAACCCTACACCATTTCTGACAAATGGCAGTCCAATCTCTTCTTGAAAGTCTCAAGTGATGGCGCTCCCACAACTTCCGAGGGCAAGCTGTTCCATTGGTTAATTGTTCTCACTGTCAGAAAGTTTCTCCTTATTTCCAGGTTAAATCTCTCCTTGTTCAGTTTCCATCCATTATTCCTTGTCTGGCGCTTTAGAAAATAGCTTGACCCCTTCCTCCCTGTGGCAGCCCCTCAAATATTGAAAGACCTCTATCATGTCTCCCCTGGTCCTTCTCTTTACTAGACTAGCCAAGTCCAGTTCCTGCAACCGTTCATTGTATGTTTTACAATGTAGACCCTGTCTTATCTCCCCCTCCCAGGCATGCAAGAAGGTGCAGGGTGGGCGGGCTACAAGACTTTTGCAGCCCCCTCAAGTGTGACTGGCGCATGACCCCTTGCACAGGAGCAGCACACAGCTTATGTGTCGGCATCCAGCAAGTGTGCCCAGTGCAGGACAGAGGAGGCAATCAATGTTCCCGTGCCCCCCCCCCCAAGAGTATATTACCCCACCCCCCCCCCAACCGGGGCACTCCCCCAAGGGCTGGCATGTCCCTTTCAAGCTGGGCACCTTACAACGCTACGGCTGTTCAGGTTTCAGGCCCATCAGCCCCAACTGCATTCCCAGCATCAGGTGGCACACGGTGGGGTTGCGGGTGTGGATTTTCTGGTGGCAGTTCAGTGACTACTTGACACACACTAGGGTGTCTCACCTGTGTAGATGCACCTATGCTTCAGCAAGTTTTCCTGCCAGATGAAGCTTTTCCCGCACTCCATGCACTGATATGGCCACTCGCCCGTGTGGATCCGTTGGTGGCGCACAGCTTTGGAGAGGTCCCGGAAGTCCTTGCCGCAGTAGGTGCAGGTCAACAACCTGTCGCCCTTCCCCATGTGGAGTTTCTGGTGAAGGAGCAGGCTGACCTCCAGCTTGAAGCTCTCCTTGCACTGGGTGCACATGTAGGGACGCTCCACCATGTGGTTCCCGGGGCGTTTCACCGTGCCGGATTTCACCATTGGGCTCCTCTGTGGCTTGGGGCACTTGTGCAGTTTGGGACAGGCAGTAGTTGGGGCCCTCTGGATAGTGAAGGGGGTGAGCTTAACCGGCGGGTTTCCTTTAGGCTCTGGCACAAGATACGCCCCGCTTCTGCTGTGCGTCTTCTGGTGGCTGGCAAAGAGCTGACTGTCTACAAATCCTTCTCCACACTCACAGCAGATGAAGGGGCCCGGGTGAGCTTCTGTGGCTGATGGGGCTGAATGCTCTTTCTGGGTCTTGGGCAGCTCCTGTGTGGACCGCTGGAGGGGCTTCTTGGGCAGGGCGACGGAGACAGGCTGGCTCTTGCACAGCAGCTCCTCTCCAGGAACCTGGAAAACATCTGTCCTCTTGTGGGGGAAGAGGTTGTCCACATCGTTCTCCAACAGCTGAGGAGCACCTAGTGAGAGAAAGGGCACAGGTGACAGAGATGGGACATGCCCAGCAGGGCTGTCTATAGAGCAGGGGTGTGCAACCTTTAACACTCAAAGAGCCATTTGGACCCTGTTTCCCACAGAAAACAAAATACAGGGAGTCAATAATTTAACAACCATTGTGACTGGGTGGGCATGGCCAACTCAATGTCACTCACTTCCACCCAGTCACCTCCTGCCCTGGAATATGGAGCGAGTCTCTGTGCCCCACTATCACCTTTACTTTCTCAGGCGAGGCCAGGCAAGGTGGGAGGGAATGGGCCAGTCAGCAGAGGGCCAAAAGAGCTGCATGTGGCTCCAGAGCCACAGGTTGCCACCCCCTGCTCCAGGCAGATGATCCGGTTATTTCAGCCTCTTTTTGGGGGGGCGGGGGGTCTGTGGTGGAGAAGTGAGAAAAAAAATCGCAGGCCCGAATTCGAATCCTGACCAAGCAAGCTCAGCCAAAGCTCAGCATCTCGGCTCTTTCAGGTTGCAAATGGTGCATCAAGGCCGACTCGGAGCTGCATGAGAGGGACTGCATTCCCGGGAAGGCCCCTTCCACCCCGAAGCCCAGCCTCATGGGTCCTAGAGTCCCCAAGCTGCTGCAGGGAGCCACAGCAGATGGCCAAAAGAGCCGCATGTGGATCCAGAGCCGCAGGTTGCCAACCCCTGCTATAGAGGTAAGGTCTCTCCCTTCTTCTGCACACCCCACGCTGCTGTCTCCCGCTCACATCCTTGTCATATGAGCCAAGAGATCGGCCACAATGGAGTTGAGGAATGGTGGGGGGATCAGCCTTGAGAAACAGTGAGGGGGGAGAAGGGGGGGAAGAGGGGATGGTTCTGCACGAGTGACCAGCAAACAGGTGAACGCACACCTCCATTTGCATGCATGGTGTCAGAGGTGGTATTCAGCTGGTTTGGACTGGTTCTGGTGTACTGGCAGTGAATTTTGTGACTACTTCGGAGAACCGGCAAATACCACATCGGGCTGGTCCTCCCCACCCACCCCTGCTCTTTCCCGTCCTTTATTCCATTGATTTTTTTTTAGCTCTGGCTTTGCTTTATTGTATTTCAATTGACCTTCACTAAACTATACCTTTGGCTCACGAACCTCAGTTCTGACTTTGCTTTACTATATTTCACTTGACCTTCACTAAACTATACCTTTGGCACACGAACCTCAGTTCTGACTTTGCTTTACTGTTAAACTATACCTTTGGCACGCGAACCTCAGTTCTGGCTTTGCTTTATTGTATTTCTTTTTTTTAAAAAAATTATTCTTTAAAAAACAAAAAATACAAAAATCTCATTTCCATTAACAGTTATTGTGTCATTGTATATACATGTTTCCTGTTTTGTGACTATACATTATTTTTATCCTTATTCTTCACCCATTCGTACCACCTCTCCCATGTCGCATAGTATTCTCGATCCTCTTTGCCTTTCAGTTCCATAGTGAATTTATCTAGTTCAGCACAGTCCATTATTTTTTGAATCAGAATTTCATCTGGTGGTATTTTATCACTCTTCCAATTTTGTGCTAACGTGATGCTTGCTGCAGTTAAGATGTGTACAATAAGGTATCTTTTATCTTTATTCAAATTCCCTTTAATCATACCTAATAAAAAAGTTTCGGGTTCCAATTTCAATTTATATTTTGTAATCTCAAAAAGCCATCTCTATATTTTCTTCCAGTATTTTTTGACCTCTATACACTGCCAACACATATGGAAAAACGTTCCTTTCTTTTGTTTGCACTTCCAGCATTCCGGTTTCAAGGTTGGATACATTTTCGCCAGTCGTGCCGGCGCTAAGTGCCATCTACAAAACATTTTATATTGATTTTCTTTGAATGCTGTCGACAAAGTCAGCTTCCAGTTCTTGGTTCAAGTCTTTTGCCACTCATCCAAATTTATATTATGACCCACATTTGTCGCTCAGGCAATCATTGGTCCCTTAACAATTTCCTTTTCTAATTCCACCTCCAGTAGGTAATTATATGTTCGTGTTATAAATTTTATATCCTTTCCTGTCAATATTTGGTCCAATTTTTTTAATTCCCCCTGTTCATCTACCAATTCTTTATATCTAATCGTTTTTTTTATGTCCCTTGTATTTGGATATAACATAACTTCCATGGGTGAGATCCAGTTTGGTCTTTTCAAATAATGCTTTTTTATTTTCTCCCATGTTTGTAAAAGTGAGTCCCTTATCAAATGTCTATGGAAATAGGACTGGATCTTATTCTTTTTATCCCATAGAAAGGCATGCCACCCAGTTTGGAGGTCATGACCTTCTATCGCCAAAATTCTTTTATTTTTTAAATTTATCCACTCCTTAACCCATAGTAAAATTGCTGCTTGATAATATGTTTCACATTTTGGGAGTCCAAGGCCACCTCTGGTTCTACTATCTTGTATCGTTTTCAATTTTATTCGTGCTTTTTTTCCCCATCCATATAAATTTCATTACTGTCCTATCTAATTCCTGAAAACATTTCTTATCCAATTTTATAGGTATTGTTTGAAAATAGTATAATAGTTTCAGCAGTATGTTCATTTTTTAAAAAAGTTTTATTTGGGTTTTCACAAAACATACAAGTACAAATAAAATATTTTTTTTTGAGAACAGCATGCTCCCGGGTTATCATTTCTCCATACAGACATAAACTCAATTACATATTCATCTTATGTATTCTAATCCATATCTTATAACTATTTTTGCAATTTTCTCAATAGTTTTCCCTTTCCTTGCTTTCTGTAACCTTATTTTTAATTATCTCATTCTTTTCTAAGTTCAATTACATATCTTTTTCTAATTTTTAAAATCTTTCTAATCAATGTTTTTATACTTTTGTCTGTCCTGTTTACAATTTCAAATTTTCTTTTCTCATAAAACAAATTTCCCCTGTAGTTACTACCGTGTTTCTCCAACAATACGGCCTCCACCAATAGGAAGGCCCAGCATGTTTTTTCGGCATAAAATCAAATTAAGCCCCTCCCCCCAAATTTAGGCCTATTTTAAAATATGCAAAATAAGGGGGAAGGGCGGGGAGACTTACCGTTAGGAGCGCCCGGCGGGCCGGAATTCCTCGCCACCAGCCGCTCCTAACGGGCGATCATGGCCAAGCACAGAGAGCTCCCTACTCCCACCTTTGCTGCAGACACCTTTGGCACCCGCCGCTCCCTCTCATTCTCGCTCTGAACTTTGCGCGACCAAAATAAAAAGATCGCCCACCGTCATGTTTGGAGCTTCCGCATTTGGAGCTTCCGCCGCCGTTTGGAGCTCCAAACAGCGGCAGTGCTCCAAACACAAAGCCGGTTGCTAAAGAGCCAGAAAGCAGCAAGGGCGCCAGGTGGAAAGGACAGGGTCGCGATCACACGGAGATGTCCAAAGCGCGGAGCGCACATAACTAAAGGCGGCGCACGCAGTTGGCTTGGGGACTACAAGGCAGCATCTGCGCCTCTTCCCGGGCACGTCTCTAGGCTGCTTCCGGAGCTACGGGACGCTCTCCGTTGCCTACCAGCCCTTCTTCCTTGGGCTCCCTGCCGTGGGGTACACCCACTTCCTCCTGCAAATTACGCCTCACAACTCTTCTCTCCCTTTCCTCTCGCTCCAAAAAGATCGCCATCGTATCCCGCCGATTCGGGCTTCCAGCCACGTTGTGATCCACTAGTGAGGTTGCCATCTCGGATGGAGGCATCGCAGTCTCCCTCTCTTGCTCGCTTTGAACTTCGCGCAGACCAAAATAAAAAGATCGGCCGCCGTTATGTTTGGAGCTGCCACTTCCGCGTTTGGAGCTCCAAATGGCGACGGCACTCCAAACATGGAAGCGGCAGCTCCAAACGTGGCGGCGTAATGGGCAGAAGGGAAAGCAACAGCGGCGGGTGCCAAAGGTGTCTGCAGCAAAGGTGGGAGTAGGGAGCTCTCTGTGCTTGGCCATGATCGCCCGTTAGGAGCGGCTGGTGGAGAGGATGCAAGGGGGGGAATTAAGTCACCCCCCGAAAAGACGGCCTAGCCGTTTTTTCGGGGCTCAAAAAAAAATAAGGCCCGGCCTTATTATGTGAGAAACACGGTAGACTGGAGTGTAACACCTTTGTATCTTTTAATTATTATCCATTCAAATCTTGTTTAAAGTTTAATTTATGCCTTTACTGTTATAACATTCATTTTCTAACCTCTATTTTATAACGCATAACAATATCAACTGATTTCTGCTTAAAAATGTGTGTGTGTGTGTGTGTGTGTGTATATATATATATATATGTGTGTGTGTGTGTGTGTGTGTATCCATATATATACAGTATATGTATAACAATAGTAAATGAAATAATTATTCTATTCGAGTTCAGCTCGGCTCTTAATATTGATAGCAATCTTTTATATTTCTATTTAAAACATTTCCATCTTTTAACAAACATTTCATTACCTAATAATATCAGTTGTCATTCACTTTAATCACCTATATTTCATATTTTATTCATTACTGTCTTTAAACAAAAAACAAAACAGTAATTATTAACAGTAGTCAATAAAATTATTCTTCTTATTCAAATTCATCCTGTCAACTGATATTAATTTCATTAAAAATCTTTCATGTTTCTTTTCAATTATATCCTTTTTTTAAATCATTGAGAGCCTTATTCTCTTATCCTCTTTGTTTCATTTAATTACTAACAAATATTCCATTACATAACAATGCAAATGTTATGTCACTTTAATAATCTATCACATTTTCTAACTCTTTTCTATTTCTAGTATAACAATGCTATCTCATGTACCCTTGCAGAATCCTCTCTTTAAGCTAATTTTTTAACCATTGTCTCTGTGTCTTTTAAATAAGCTTATACCTTTAATTCTTGTACGTTTTTCCTGTTTCTCTATATCTTGTTTCTGTCCTTTATAACTTCTTTTCCTTTCCATCTTCCCCCTCTTCTTCCCTCCCCTTTTTGTTCCCTTTTCTATCTGATTTTCCCTTCTGTGATCCTCTCTTCTGCTTCTTCCTAATGTTATAGTTACGTTTCAAATTACTCTTTTTTTTGGTTGTTGCTTCAAGTCTTAAGTTTTTAACTCCCTTTCCCCTCTTTTCCTTTTTTACCCTGCTTAAAATTGCTTGGTCATTAAAGATGGCTTCTTCTTCGTCCCGCCCTTCTTGTTCTGCAAGCATTTCTTGTTGTTTTTCATAGTTCAAAATCTCCATTTCTAAAAATTGAAATATGAAGCCAAAAGATCCTCTTCCCTCTTGTGCTTCTTCTTTTTGTTCTTTAAGTATCATCTTTTGCTCTTCAAGGAGTGATGCCATTTTAAAGATTTTTAAACAACCCCCAATTGATTTTATTTCATTTCATTAGGATCCACCATCCAAAATTCCAGGAATCCAATAATCCAAAGCTGTTTCTTGCTTCTTTTCTTACTTTCTCTTTCCAGGGGCTTTATTATCTTGTAACAAAGTTTCAGCTACAATGTATCCTTTGCAAGTCTTGTTAAAATTCCACTATCAATTATTTTTACTTCCAGGTAGTCTCCTCCATTTTTCCAGATTCCACCCTCTCCCCCCCCCCCCCCCCCCCCCCCCGTTTTCTTCTTTTTTGAAATTTTTGAAATTTATCCAAGTCTTTATCCCTGTGACACTTTATTTTCAGCTAAAAATATCCTGTTAATGTCAAAGTGGATTTATATCAACTTCTTGTTTAGATCTCTTCTTAATGTTCAAAGTCAATGTGAGAGGGAAAAAAAGCCAAATCTTTTTCCTTTTCCTTTCTCTTTTGCTGCTTTAAAGATCTTTTTTAGGTATAGTATTAGTCTTTGTAATTCAAGTTCCAAGTACCTTAAATAGATGTTTTCTCCATTCAACCTGGTCAGTCAAACTTTCTCCTTTAAACTTCCTCCTGCACAATCTTGTTCGGTCGGGTTCTTCTTTGAGGTGGTCATTTCTGACCACCGCTGCAACCGCCTTTGGGAAAGGGAGTAATGGCCAGCCGAGGAGAAGAGATGCAGCTCTCTTCAACCCCGCTGGCAGTCTCCCCCTTCTTCACCACCTCTATGGGGTGGCTTCAGCCCCGAATCCAAGCAGCTCGGGGTGCTCCAGCGGCGAGCACGGATCAAAAGCGTGCACAATCGCGGATTTTGGTCCGTCACTGAAGAAGCCCAAACCGGAAGTCCGGTAGTATGTTCATTTTTATGGCCGCTATTCAGCCTAATAGTGATAGTTGTAATTTTCCCCAATTGGCCAGGTCTTTCTTTATCTGTAAAAATAATTTCATATAATTATCCTCTTTTATGGAAGAGCATATTCCTGTTAACCAAATTCCTAAATATTTAAGTTTTTTGTAATCCCAATTTGTTTTCCAATTCTTTTTTTGACTTTCTATCAAATTTTTGGTTATTACTTTTGTTTTATCTTTATTAATTTTTAGTCCTGCTACCGCCCCATATTCTTCTAATTCTTGAATTAGATAGGTCCCTGACTCCATTGGATCTTCCACAAAAAACACTAAGTCGTCTGCAAACGCCTGTACTTTATATTCTTCATTTTTGCTCTTCAGTCCAATTATCTCCTTTCTTTGCCTAATCTGGTTTAAAAGCACTTCCATGGTCAAGATAAAAAGCAGAGGTGACATTGGACATCCCTGCCTAACATCTTTCATAATCTTAAAGTTTTCAATAATCTCCCCATTTATAATTACCCTAGCTTTTTGGTTCGAATAAATTGTGCCAATCATTTTCTTGAATTTAGATCCAAATCCCATATTTTCGACCTGTTGGATCAAGAACTGCCAGCTGAGGTTGTCGAAGGCCTTCCGAGCATCCAAGAAAATCAACGCTGCCTGCTTTTCCGGGTGGGCCTCATAGTATTCTAATATATTTAATACTATCCTTGTATTGTTTCTTATCTGTCTAGAAGATAGAAAGCCATTCTGGTCAATATGAATAAGTTCATTTAATATAATTTTTAATCTTTCCGACATTATTGTTGCAAAAATTTTATAGTCTACGTTCAGAAGTGAGATTAGTCTATAATTTTTAATCTGTTTGTGATATAAATCTTCTTAGGAATTAGTGAGATATTCGCTTCTCTCCATGAATCGGGTAATTTAGCAAAGTCTAATACCTCATTGTACACATCTAACATCACTGGTTCAAGACATTCATAAATACTTTTATATAGTTCCGCTGGAAGACCGTCCGGCCCTGGCATCTTACTATCTTTCTGCCTTTCAACCGCCCTTTTCAATTCCATCACTGTTATTTCTTTATTTAATATCTCTTTCTGTTCCCCTCTAATTTCTGGGAGACCTTTCCTTTTCAAATATTGTTCTATATTCTCAGGGTTTATTCCATCCTCCCTATATAGTTGTTCGAAATATTTTTGTACTATTTTCTTTTTTTCAGTCATTCAATATTCTAATTTTCCATCATCATCCTCCAATTCTTATATAAACCTTCTTTCTCTTTCTAATATTAATTTATGGGCTAACCACCTCCCTGGTTTATTTGCATGTTCGAAAAAATTCTGTTTTGCCCTTTTCACCTCTTTAACTCTCTCTTCCTGATTTATAATGTTCAATTTATGCCTAGTAAGAATCATCTCTCTCCTCATTTTTTCCTCTTGAGGTCTTTAATCTCCTCCAGTAATTTATTCTGATTTTGCCATCTTTCCTTATTCCTTTTTGCTGTATATGCTGTTACCAGCCCCCTCAAGACTGCCTTTGCTGTATCCCATATATTATGTAATGATGTTTGCTCCACTGTATTTTCCTTTTTAAAAAGTTCAATTTCTTTCTTAATTTTCTCTACAAAATCTTTCTCCTTTAAGATTTGGGGATTAAGTATCCACCTTCTACTCTTCCTTTTCCTTCCTTTCCAAATTATTTTTAATGGGTTATGATCAGCCCATACATCTGTCATAATCTCTACTGTATCTAGTTGGTTTCCTAGTTCTGCGTTCATCCACGCCATGTCTAATCTAGACCACGATTTGTGTGGATTAGAGTAGAACGTGAATTCTTTTTTCCCCAAATTTATTCTCCTCAATTGAGCTATCAAATTTAGTTCCTGCGTCATATTGAAGAAAGATCTGGGCAAAATTTTCCTTTTCTTTTTGTTCTTTGCATTACTAAAATAATCCTTCCTTATATCTACTACCACATTAAGATCTCCCACAATGCATACATTGTCTTGTCCCATCTCAACAATTCTCTCATGTAAATCCTTATAGAATTGGCTTTGGTTGTCATTCGGTGCATAAATTATAACTAATAACATTGGCTTGTACCCTAATTCTAGTTCAAGTATCAAAATTCTCCCTTGTGGCTCTACATATTTTTCTACTGCCTTAATTTCTTTTTTAATATATACCACTATCCCTTTCTGTTTTTGATCTGCCAGGGCTACAAATAACCTTCCTAATTTGGGATATTCTAAACATTTCCAAAATTGTTTTTTAATATGGACTTCTTGCAGGCATACTATTTCTAATTTCTGTTTGGCTAATCTAGATAGTATCTGTTTCCTTTTAATGGGTGAGTTTAGACCATTTATGATTAATGATGATAGCTTCGTTTCCATTTCCGTCTTTCTACTTGTGGGATATTATCTGTCTTCTGTGAATTCTAGTCTCTCTTTGCTTTGTTTTATTGTATTTCACTTGACCTTCAGTAAACTATACCTTTGGTGCAGGAACGTGAGTTCTGGCTTTGCTTTACTGTATTTTACTTGACCTTCAGTAAACTATACCTTTGGCGCGCGAACCTCAGTTCTGCCTTTGTTTTACTGTATTTTACTTGACTTTCAGTAAACTATACCTTTGGCGCACGAACCTCAGTTCTGGCTTTGCTTTCATGTATTTCACTTGACCTTCAGTAAACTATAACTTTTGTTTGGGTATTTTCCCATGTCATTATAGTTGTGCTTTTAAAGTTGTAGCAACGTTTCGGCAGAATCTCATCTGCCATCATCAGGCTTCTGTATTGTGTTTGTCTGTATTGTGTTCGTCTGACAGGCGCTCAAGCTTCAGTTCTGTTTTTTATTTATTTATTTATTTATTTTTTATTTATTTGATTTGCCAATTGTTTACAAGATAATAAGTATAAGTGTATACATAGTTGTGAATACATGAAATGGGTACATATAAGAAAAATAAAAGAAGAATAAGAGAAACAATAGGACAGGGACGGTAGGCACGTTGGTGCGCTTATGCACGCCCCCTACAGACCTCTTAGGAAAGGGGTGAGGTCAATAGTAGACAGTCTAAGGTTAAAGTTTTTGGGGTTTGGGGAAGAAACTACAGAGTCGGGTAG